CAGAATTTGCTGATATTTAGTGGAATCCATTCTTCCATCTACCCAAGCAATGTTTCATGTGCCACTGGCTGCCACACAACCCCAAAGTTTAAAGATCCATCGTCATGATTTAAGTCCCAAGAAAATAAACTTAAATTTCCCTTAACTGCTCTTAATGTCATTTTGGACAATAGAATTTACAAACTGGAAGCACATTGATATCTATTATAGGCTTTCTTTGCTTTGTAGGCAATTACTTTCATTTTCAGATCTTCAGCCAGCTGCTTAGAGGAGCCAAAAGGAGTTCTTGAGGTTGGATGGTTTGAAGAGTCAGATAATTGATTTTGCTCTGGAATTGTTATCAGCTGACAATTCCTAATGGCAATTATTGACCTGCCTAACCAGCCCTAATGGGCCAAATAAGGCCTAACAAGTTAATTAAGTGAGACATCACAACTGGAAGGGTGTCCAAACCTTTTCTAAGTTCAATTATAAAACAAGTGTGCATTGACTTTATAGTATTGTAAATAGTAATAACTTTCAAAGTTTGCTACTTCTTTTTACTTCAAAAATCAACAATATGTCCAATTTGTGTTAATACATCTGTATATCATAGCTGGTTAGAAACATGCATGCAATGCAACATACAGTTTCTTTCCTTCAGTTCAATCCTTGTATTTATAACATAGGAACAATATTTAGACAATTAGGATTTCCTTATAAACAGTAACATATCATTCTGTTGAGGTATTATTTTCAAGCTATAGCTATATTTTTAAATTACTTGAGTTAACAGTCATGCAAAGTAAAAAAAAAAAAAAGTTTAGTTCAAAGTAGCATTTATCAATGCCATGAAAGAAGATCGTGTTTAAACACAGCCGTTTCATTGGATCTACAGAAATGAAAACTTACAGATAGGTATTGCAGGCATTGGTGTTGCATTGCTTTAAAACACGGGAGACCTCCATGAAAGTTTGTTCCATGTTCATGTCCTTCTTTAGAATTCTCTGGAAAAATAATTTATTTTTAAATGCAATTAAAAGTGGCATCATATATAGCAGGATTTCATCATTGGCACCATGAATTTAAAAGCTGTTTATAATGTTGTACTCCCCAACTATATTCCTTTAATACCGAGACAAAGCAGATGCAGAACTAACTGTATTCTTCTCTAGTGTTTCATAAGATCTTCTGTAATATGACAATATGATAAAATTGTCTCCTTGTTTCTTTTAAATTTTTTATAACATGGCTTTTTGGTGTGTTTCTGTATTATATGGAGATGTTTTTCAAAGTTGTTACCTTAGAGAAGTGTATAAAGTTCATTGTAATGATGTCTAGAAGTTTCTCATCCATTTGAATTTCATCTTGCAATAAGTTATCAATAAGCAGATAAACCACTTGTGTACCCTGCCACAGACACCTGTTGGGAAAACAGCAGATTAATTAATTAATTGCATTTGTGTTATTTGCTCAAAAATGACCATAAAGTGAGATTTTTGTGTTCCATTTTGAAAGCAGCAAATTTTGTTATAGCTAAATGAGTTTCTTCATCAATTTATTAATTACTACCAGTAATTTAATAACATTATTTTCAATGTGTGAGTGCAAAATCTGAAATTGAAAATCACATGAATGCAGCATAAACATGAAAATAAGGTCCATTTTTCATTACTGATGTCCAGTGAGAGCAACAGGGGCTGCATGTTCCAACTTCTCAGTGACTGTAGCCTCTCATTCTCATATCGCTACATTGTGTCTCATTAATTTATCGATAGTTCTCCCATGAGCACTGCCCAGCACAGTCTGTTGAAAGCGTCCTCCAGGGCTAGCTTTACTGATATTCCTGACATTAGTACTGTATTTTGCTTACTTGTCTTTCAGCGATAAACCTTCACTATGGCAGTAGCTGGAAATAACCTTGGTTTTATCATGAAAGCCATCAGTTGATGTTCTTTTTTATCTTTTTTTAAAGCTATCGGTTAAATAGAGGGCTATAACAGAGCACTAGCAACAGCATGCAAGCAGATGGGCTTCTGTTCTGCCTCTAGGCTTTTGAAATAGTGTTTCAACGTACAGTAGCACCACCCTTTGGTTGAGGCAGGTGTTGCACCCTGGCAGACAGGAAACAGGAAACCAGAGACCCATGTTAATTCTTGTTGTGGATCTCAGCAGCTTTACATGCCTGTTAACATCTGTCGTAATCAAGGGATTTAGCCCATTGTGAGCATTGCCTGTAAGTCATTTCTTACTGTTTATAAGTTTATCTTGCAGTATCCAAGAGTATTTATGATTGATGAGACTGTCATTGTTTGTATTAGCTTAATGAAGCTTGCTGTAGGTTAGGCTGTTGGGCTAGCATAATGTACATGTGTATGTATGTTTATCTTTTTATATAGTCATGCTTAGCTAACATGTTCAAACCTCCATCATTTGTATGTTAGTAATTCAAAATATGTTTTATCATTTTTCAGTTTACTCCTTTGTTGTACCAACATGCTCTTCAAGAGTCTACACTAAAATTGGAGCTAGAATGCTAAATTCTGACTCTCGTGTTGTTATTCTGGGAGTTTGGCTGGCTGTCTAATTTTGGTTAAGCCAAACCATTAGGAGGACAGTATAGCTTCAGAATGGAGCTAAAAGATGTTCATACAGACAAAAACACAAATGTCACACAAACTGTTTACCTGATTTTTTTGATCAGTTCCTCTCCTCTCGTGCCATGACACAGAGAGTTTTCTGAAACTATCACCTCTACAGATGAAGACAGTGACTTCACCCGATTAAGCCAAGCCTGACAAGTATCATAGCTCCCAAGCAGGTCCTTGCTGGGTTGAAGTTTCTCCAGTAAAAGGTACAATGCCTGTGAAAAAGGATGTAACCTAAATTAATAATATACCTTTACATTTTATATGCAAGGTAAATGTGGGATGGAAGTATTGTTACATAAATGTCACATTTCACCACTACAAGAAACAATAACAATTCTTTTTTTCTGTCTTTATTATTAAATTGCTTTCCAGCAGTTTAATCTTGGATTATTGTGAATGTTCTTTGTAATGATGTGCTAACAAGGTGTTAAATATATAAATAATTTAGAGGTACTAAATATATAAAGAATTATAAATAACGTTATTTTACTTATTATCCCTTCCTGGATCGGGACCTTGCCATGGTGGAAGGGCTTGTGTGCTCTAGGGATCTTCAGAGCTAAGTCTTTGGGAGCAATATGCTCCTGGTAGGGTCTGGAGTGAAGACCCAGACTAACTCGATCCAAAAACCCTCCATGAAAAACGGGCACAGAACATCGTGTACCCTGCCCAGGAGAGGATCACTGGGACCTACCCCTGGAGCCAGGCGTGGGGGTAGCGTCCCTCGGCGAGCGCCTGGTGGCCGGGCAGCCCACATAACCCGGCCGGGCTCAGCCCGAAGAGGCAACGTGGGGAGACCATGTGGGCCCACCACACGCAATGTCCAGCATGGGAGAGCAGTGCAGTGCTGTATAGGCAGTAGGAGACGGCAGAGAGACCCTTGGCGGCCTAGGCCCCTGTGGCAGAAACTGGCTCTTGGTACATGGAATGTAACCTCACTGGGGGGGAAGGAGCCGGAGCTTGTGCGGGAGGTTGAGAGGTACCAACTAGATATAGTTGGGCTCATCTCCACCCACAGTGGCTCTGGAACCAAACTCCTGAATAGGGGTTGGTCCCTCTCCTACTCAGGGGTTGCACAGGGTAAGAGGCACCAGGGTGTGTGGGGATACTCACGAGTCCCCGGCTGGCGGCCGTGCATTTGGAGTTTGTCCCAGTGGACAAGAGGGTAGCCTCAATGTGAATTAAAATCGCAGAGAGGAAAACTCTGACTGTTCTGTGTGCTTACCAAACGACAGGTCGGAGTATTCGGCCTTCTTGGAGCGAGTGGGCGGGGTTCTGGAAAGGGCCCAGCCTACAGACTCCATAGTCCTACTGGGAGACTTCAATGCTCATGTTGGCAATGACTGGGAGACCTGGAGAGGCGTGATTGGGAAGAACGGCCTGCCCGATCTAAACCTGAATGGTGAATCATTATTGCACTTCTGTGTCAGGCATAGATAGTCCATAACGAACACCAAGCTTGAACACAAGGATGTTCATAAGTGTACATGGTACCAGAGCTCCTTGGGTCAAAGGTCAATGATCGACTTTGTTGTCGTTTCATCTGACTTGGAACCATAGGTTCTGGACACTCGGGTGAAGAGGGGTGCTGAGCTGTCAACTGATCACCATCTGGTGGTGAGTTTGATCAGATGGCAGGGAAGACTGATGGTCAGACCCGGTAGGCCCAAGCAAATAGTGAGGGTGTGCTGGGAATGACTGTCGGAGGCCCCTGTTCAGAATGATTTTAACTCTCACCTCCGGGAGAGCTTTTCTCATGTCCCAGAGGAGGTAGGGGACATGGAGTCTGAATGGACCCTGTTCAAAACCTCCATTGTGGAAGCTGCCAGCCTATTTTAAGAAAGGGGACCGGAGGGTGTGTGCCAATTATCGTGGTATCACACTGCTCAGCCTCCCTGGGAAAGTCTATGCCAAGGTGCTGGAAAGGAGACTTCTACCGATAGTTGAACCTCAGATTGAGGAGGAACAATGCGTATTCCGTCCCGGCCATGGAACAATGAACCAGCTTTTCACCCTCTCACAGATTGTTGAGGGGGCATGGGAGTTTGCCAACTGTACTCCTGGAGTGAGAGCTGTGTTAGTATACTTGGCATTAAGTCTGACTCTTTCAGTGTTAGCGTTGGACTACGCCAGGGTTGGGCCCTGTCTCCACTCCTGTTTGTGATATTCATGGACAGGGTGTCAAGGCGTAGCCAGAGTCAGGAGGGCATTATGTGTGGAGGCTGGAGGGTGGCGTCTCTGCAATTTGCAGATGACGTTGTTCTTTTGGCTGGATCACATGGATGCCTCAAGCGCTCACTGGAGCGGTTTGCAGCTGAGTGTGAAGTGGTTGGTATGCGGATCAGCACCTCCAAGTCTGAGTCTATGGTCTTAGCCCAGAAAAGGATGGCATGCCCACTCCAGGTAAGGTGAAAGGACGCGTCCCAGGTGGAGGAGTTTAAGTATCTCGGGGTCTTGTTCATGAGTGATGGAAAGAGGGATCATGCGATTGGCCGCAGGCTGGGACAGGCGGCAGCAGTAATGCGGTCACTGCACCAGACTGTAGTGGTGAAGAGGGAGCTGAGCCATAAGGCGAAGCTCTCTGTTTACCAGTCAGTCTACATCCCAACCCTCACCTATGGTCATGAGCTGTGGGTAATAACTGAAAGAATGAGATCGTGAATACAAGTGGCGGAAATGAGCTTTCTTCGTAGGGGGGCGGGCTACACTCTATTTGATAGGGTGAGGAACTCGGTCATCTAGGAGAAGCTCGGAGTAGAGCCGCTACTCCTCCGCATTGAGAGGAGCCAGCTGAGGTGGTTCTGGCATCTGATACGGATGCCCCCTGGACGCCTCCCGGTGGGGCTGTACCAGGCACGGCCTACTGGGACAAGGACCCGCTGAAGGGGTTATATCTCCAAGTTGGCCTGGGAGTGGCTTGGGGTCCTCGGGAATGAGCTGGAGGAAGTTGTGAGGAATAGGGTCGTCTGGGATTCTCTGCTCTCCCAACTGCTACCGCGGCCCTATCTGGACTAAGCGGTTAACGATGATGATAATGATGATGACTTTGACTTTCTCCTTCCTTATGCAGGGGGATTACCTTATATCTAATCTCCTCAGAAATATCTCTTGGAAGATCAATAACTTGTGCTTAATAGATGTTTTTACTGGAAATTAAATGATGGAAGGGGCATTTCAGACTTCTGTACAGTTTTTAATATAATTATTAAGTATTTTTAAAATTTTAAAAATTTAAAAATACTTAACCTGAACAAGTTGTTTAATTAAATTTTATTAGAATTTCATTATACACGTGTGTGTGTGTGACAACATCTTACTTTGTTTTTTAACCTTAACTCAAAATTAAATCCTAACTGTAATCCTAATCCTTACTTTAATGGAATAAACATTTTGCTGGTGCAGAATAAACATTTTTCCTGGTGCAGATAATCAAAATAGACACTTTTTAAAATTACTTCTATGTGCATGTCATATTCATCGAATTTCTACTTTGCAATAAAATAGAGCTAAACTAATTAACTCTGTGATGACTTGTACTGGTGAGTATTTATGCAGTTAGGCCGTGCATATTGCCTCATGGAAAAGCAATAATACATTTAGTTTTAGAGAGACAAAGCTTTTATTGTTACATATTAAAGGACACTTCCATTTTTTGCTATAAAAGGAAAAACCTTGATACCTCAGTTGCCTCTCTCACGTCTCTGGTGTTGATCATGTCCCCACATTGCTGTAATAGTTTACAAAAGATCTGGTGGTTGTCACGCATTCCCTCATATGTCACATGCAGCCAAAGCAGGGACACATCATTTGGGTCAGCTTGCATCCAGTCCTTGTAGAGGTTTTTGGCAAATTCCACCAAAGCCACAGAGAACGCCTGCAACACAGTGTTATGTCAATGTGAAATGCCAATAATATCAATGAACTAAAATGATAAGCTCAACTACTCAAGGAAAACCCAGAACTAAGTCAGGCTATTATGTAGCTTCCATTTGCTTATGTGACTGTTCTACATCAAGAAAAGATACAGTTCCCTCCACAAATATTGCCACCCCTGGTAAACTTGAGCAAAACTGGCTGTAAAAACATTCTTTATTGCTTATTATTTTTGATCTTTCATTCAAAATACTAACAAAAAATCACCTTTATTTTATTACAATTATTGAAAGGAAAAAAAATAAAGCTCACTGTAAAGTATTTTTCTTAAATCTGAATGTGCCATAGTTGTTGGAACTCCTTCATTTAATACTTTGTGCAGCCTCCTTTGCAAAGATAACCTCTGAGTCTTCTAATTTAATGCTTAATGAGACTAGAGAACACATGGGAAAAGGTCTAAGAACACTCCTCCACAGAGAACTTCTCTAGATCCTTCAGATTCCAAGGTTCACACTTTACTCCTCTTTAGCTCATCCCACAGCTTTTCTGTGTGATTTAGCTCAGGGGATGGGATGGCCATGGCAAAACCTTGATTCTGTGGAGAGTGAACCATTCTATTTTAATATTGAGGCCCGCTTGTATCATTGTGCTGAAAGATCCTACCATGGCCCAGTTTAAAGTTTGATTTAATATCTGCTGGTGCTTGGTGGAGTCTATAATGCCTACTATTTGAGCTAGTTGCCCAGGACCTTTGAAAAGCTACACCCCCACAACATCACAGGTCCACCACCATACTTCACAGCAGAGATGAGGGACTTTTCTGCATGGTTATCATTGTGTCTTCACCAAACTCACCTCTGGAGTTTGTTGCCAAAAACCTCTATTTTGGTCTCATCTGACCACAGAACACAGCCCCACTGAAAATTCTAGTAATGTTTGGTAAACTGTAGGTACTTGAGTGTTTTGTCTTGACAGCAAAGGCTTTCTTCTGGCAATCCTCCCAAAACAACTTTTGGTCATGCAGGTGAAGTCTGACGGTAATTTGGGAGAGGTTCTGCCCCCAAAGACTAACTAATGTCTGCATTTCTCCAACTGTGATCCATGAGGATTCTTTTGCCACTTGAACCATCCTTCTCACTGTGCATGGGATCATCATAGATATACATCCTCTTCCTGGCAGATTCTTAACATCTCCAGCTGCTTTAATCATTGTACATTAAGGCAGCAATTAAATTTCTTAATTATTGCCTTGATGGTGGAAATGGCCATTGTTTAGATATTTTCATGTAAAATTTCCTGATTTCTGCAACTCAACAACTCTTTATCTTACATCATTGCTGTTTTCTCTGGTCTTTTTCATAGTGATGGATGACTGAGGAAATTTGGCCTGTGTGTCACCTTATATTTATACCCCAATCTGACCATTAAAGTGCTCCTAATTGCTCAGGTGAACTTATAAACATTAAATATGATTGGGAATATATTCTATCATGTACTTATCATGACATTTCACAGTAAGATTTAAGTTTTTTTCTCTCAATCATTGTACTTCAAATAAAAATAAGATTTTTGTTAATATTTTGAAAGAAAGGTCAAAAAGATAAGCAATAATGTTTTTACAGCATTTTGCTCATGTTTATAAGGGATGCCAATACTTGTGGAGGGCACTTTATGTAAGACAAGAGCTCAATGTATTACTGTGACTTAGACTTAAACGTTCCTAACAAATAAAAACAAGGAAAAGATCAAATGAATCATCTAGTTTTTAAACCCTATCTGAACATATAGTATTTGCATGACATACTTTCATTAACACACAACTGTAACCAGGCAGCTCTGTTTATTTTTAATGAATTTTATTTAATGTCTGAAACTGATTTATGAAGATTTACCTGATTGACTTCATAGGGACATTCAGGCATAGACATCCTCACCAAGTCTTCTGCATACGTGTTAAAGAGTGAGTGTGTGCTTTTAATGTTGTAGAGCCAGGGGAACTTGATCAGTTCTTCGCATTTTTCTATTTGCTCCAGTTTAGACATTTCTGAAATTGGGAGGAGAAGAAACAAATTAAGGGTATTTAAAGGGAAAAACAGACAAGCAAACAACTAAACAAAACTAAACTAATTTAAACATATACAACACAGTATTACAATCTGGAACAAAATAATGAAGAAAGGAATCTGGAAAAAATCTGTTTTGATCATATCTCATTATGTTGATATCTTCCTGTAGCTATGATCTGTGTTTATTTGGTTGTCATGGCAATTACTGTCCAACCTGTATAACTATTTTGTAAAAATAAGGTCTGGGATGTATTGGACAGTAAGCAAACGTGTTGGATGTTGGAGGTGCTCCCAGTCAGGAGTGGTGAGTACCCATCTACAGTGGACCGAGGAGGGTCAAACCGCAAACCGGGTGTTGGGAACCCATGATGCATGAGGGCAAAAAAGGCTGTCTCGTCTGCTCTGAACTGACAGAAGGGCTACTGTGGCACAAGTCACAGAAATGTTTATTAATAATTACGGTAGGAATGTCATAACACCGTTCATCACACTCTGCTGTGTATGGGGCTGCAGATTGGTCAGTCCCCATGCTGACCACTGTCCACCACTGAAAGAGCCTACAATGGGCACACAAGCATCAGAACTGGACTTTAAAGCAGTGGAAGAAGGTCGCTTGGTCCGAGGAGTCCTGTCTACTTGTATGTCACATGGACAGCCAGGTAAGTGTGTGCCCTTTACCTGGAGAAGAGATGGACCAGGATGCACTATGGGAACAAGACAAGCTGGTGGAGGAAGTATCATGCTGTGGGTGATGTTCTGCTAGGAAACCCGGAGTCAGCAACATTCATGTGGATGTGAATTTGATACATGCCACCTAATGAAACATCGCTGGTGTTCCCTGATGTCAGTGGAGGACCAATAGCACCTTAGGCATCATTTAATGTATATACTTATGCTGCATGATGTTAGTGATTCTTTTGTGCACAATCTTACACATGATGTGTTATAAGAGTTAGTTTAATCTGTTTCCAATGCAAATAGTTTTGGTACTAGGTGCCTTCTGCATTATATCACATGGAGTTTCAGGTTATAGGTGCCTCTTTACAATCTTGATGATGTATGAGGGTGTGCATATTCAGTGTTAACTTTCTGCTGTATAGCACTATTAGTGTAGTGTAAACACCATTTCATTCCAATCCTAACACTCTACAGAACAAGAACTGGGTGCAACATATCCACTATTAATTCAATTCTGTCCAAATCTCCAAAGGTCATCTGGATTGGACTCACTACAATAAAGACTTCTAGACTTTCAGTAAAGACTTACAATAAAGACTTCCATGTTTTTTTATTCATGGTGAATGTATCTAATTTATGTATGTGCTTAGTTTGCATCACAATACACAAAAAACGCTAAAAGTTAAAGTAATGATGTGTAAATTAAAGGTCCCGTTACATCTACGTGTAAACCCTATCTAGAAAACTATTGAAAAATGTTGTTAAAATGGCTTGGAAACACTGTATTGTAAAATATAGTATAGTTTTAGTATAGTAATAATTTCACTATATGTAAAGCAATTAGTCCATATTAGATAAACATATAAAAACACATGTATGCTCATGTACTGTTGGTCTAGGAAATGAGGTTCTCCATAAATCTTGTCTATTGTGTTTACGGTGCAGTATCTACATCAAGTACCTGGCAGATTTTGAATCTGTCTCCAGATTTGGTCAAATCTTGCTTTCACCACCCAGCTGAATGGAAATCTGCATGAAACTGATGTTTCCTTTGTGTTGCTCGTAGACAGCACAGAGTAGTTGTGTCTGTGAATTAAAAAACACCAACAAGCTAATCATTTCTTTTTGTCAATACCTATGTAAATCCATTTGATTTCATTATTTTATTTTTACATTTACAAGCAGTACATGTGGCTGCTGCCCTGATTTACAGAAACTATAATACTAGTTGGCCTTTATCCTTAATTCAATACAAATCAAATTTGACTGAATGAAGAAAAACTTACTTTAATAAGGCTGGAACAATCAAGAGATCTTCTTCCTGAAAAATCTTGATCCACAACTCAGTTTTGTCACATGGCTGACTAGCAGTCACATGATCCAAGTTATTGTCTCCATCCACAACTGCAAAGACTGGGGCCATAGCAGAGGCCACAGCATCCTCCAAATGAATCCACAGGACATGGCTTAAAGAGATTGCAACAAACATCATGACACATCAATGTAGAGAGCTTTGAAAACATGCTAAACTAAAATGGAATTGATCGTTGCATTAAAGATGAACAGTTAAAGAATGTGCATTATGAAAAATACATCAGTACATTTAATACTTCAAGACTTAAGAATTTATTCCTTTGGGTTTTGTGTCAGAGAGAAATATAATGCATGGCATTGTATTTTCTAAAAAATATAAATTTTTTGGGGATTTTTACACATTTTCCCCCCATTTAGTCATGTCTAGTTCCACCCACTAGTTCGGTCTCCCCCAGTCACACAGTACTACCAAGCTAGGAGGGTGAAGGCTGGCACATGAATTAGTAACTGCTAATTCTGTTACGTTATGCCCATGTTTGGCTAGCACTATGCTGAGAAATGGGGGGAGAAAAAGGACAGAGCGTGAGGGCAGTTATGATATCTTAGACTCCCAGTAACGGATAGCTGTGGAATCACTGGGGATTGAAATTACAATCTCCTGATGACAGGACCAACACTCAACTCTTAGTTGCATCACCCCAAAAGAAAATTAAATAATTTAATGTGTTATACCTTTGGTCCCTAAAAATGAAAAGTCTTAACAAACCTATGCACATCTTTAATTTGGCAAATTTATGTTTTTAACTGGTAAAAAATCAAACCATTTCATTCAAGAAAAGATTGTCCTTACCGAAAGGACGTTCCTTCCACCACAAAGCTGTTGGACTGAGCTTGAGTAATGACCCAACTTTCTGTTTTCTCTTTCTCTCGAGCAGACAAGATGTTAACAATTCTTTTTTCCAAGGCTTTAAAAAAGTTTCTTGACACTGAAAAGTTATAATGATAATGACATGTATAATTGCTGTTGTAGCACAGAAACTTGGCTAATGTTTCTTTCTTCACTGATAATTTATACAATGCACCACCCAATCTGCATGCCTACTCTCTCACAAAGGGTTATACAATGCAAGATAAAGCATTTAAAGGAAAGTTCATGGGACACTGTGGGAAATGTAATTTGGGTCTGGTGGTGCCACTATATGAGAGTACCCAATGCAATTCACAAAATGTGCCAGTAGTAGAAGGCACAGTGTGATTCTGTATTTGAATATATCAATGTGTTCATGGTGCATGAAGTGCCTGAACTCACCATCATTGTTTGCATGAAGTAGATTATGAAGAATTTCAACTCGCTTTCGGGCTCTGTGTGAATTGTCTGCTTTATCCTGCAGCTGGATAATTGCTTTTTGCATGGACATCTTAATTAACAGGTGTGTGTCAATTAGCTTATTCTGTATGCAAAATAAATGAATAATTACTTATTAGTGATGTTGATCAATAAGAATAAGCCTTATTACACATAGTGTTAAAATATCTCAATATGTACTCCTTACCCTCTCAGGGGACCGCTTGCTAATATCATCTGTTAAAAATTGTATCAGTAGATCAACAGTCAGTGTGAATTCATATACACATACACACATACAAATTTATACAAATCATACATTTACACAAAAAGTAACCTGAATGAATAAACTTCTGGACGATGCCAAGCAACACTAGCTACAAAGTCAACAGAGAAAGTTAGAATGCAACCTGTCACTTTATACGATGAACTGAGCAGAGTTAACTTGTGAACTTAATAATGTTCTTTTATCAGTTGCTATTGTAAGAACACTACAATGAATTCAGTTTGATAGAGTAACATTTTTAATTAATATATTTGTTCTCTGATCAGTTCTTAAACCTATAACAATTATGGCAGTCACAATAATTCTAACTAGCAGATAAATGGTGAACCCCTGTATTTTGGAGGAAGTGACTTTTAGAATAGTTTGGTAATTGTCAGCATAATGCATAAGAATACAATCTGATGTTTACGAACCACTGGGGAACCACTGGAGAAACTGGTTTGTTTTTCACAAGCTGTTACTTGTGAAAATAACTATTAATTATTAACTGCTTTACTACACAACATACCTTCATCATGGATGATGCTTTGTCCAAAAACTTTAGACACTGGCATTTTGCATAGTGTCTGCATATCAGCAGGAAGTCCTTTTGTTGGCATGAGCTCATCCAAATGTACACAATCCCATTCATCTGCAAATATATAAAAAGATAAAGCAGACGATGAGACAAACATGCTCACAGAGTAAAGCATTACATAAAGTGTGCTCGAAAGAAAGGATTTTTTTGCTGTTGCCATGTTACATGTATATATCAGTCATGCATTACCACCACTCATGGCAATGTATCCACATCCTCCTGATATCCGTGGAAGTCTTATCAGGAGAACAACATCAACTGTGACACTGTCCTCAGATTCCTTCAAGAGTTTTGTGATGCAATACCTTAAAATATAAAAGTAACTGTTGTCTTTCATATGTACGTAATGAGAAAACAGGAAGAACAACAATATAGCTTTGAATAGCTTAAATTTGTTGATGTCACACATGCATATATGTGAAGAAAATACATCAAGTATATATATATATATATATATAATCACACAAGAGCCTCAGAAGCCTCAACAACTAAATATGTCAGCTGTACATATATATATATATATACATATGTACAGCTGACATATTTAGTTGTTGAGGCTTCTGAGGCTCTTGTGTGATTTTCTGACACTGAGAAATGAACCATTTGCACATAATGGATGTTTTCCCTGGAAGGGTGGCCTCAGACTTTTGCACAGTAAACTGTGCACAGTATACAGTGTATTGTATATAATTATCTGCTTAAAGAGAGAATGCCACAAAATACAGTCCACAGTTCGTACCTGGCACATGACAGCAGCCGCTGACTCAACTTTGAGTTCTCAAAGTAGAACTGAATCAGCACCAGAACTCTGCCTTCTGAGTTTGGTTGAAAGCATTTCCTTAACAAACATACACACAGGTAAAACACATGCAATATGTTACTTTCACATTTCTGTGCTCATGAAATTTTTATGTAGATTACCTATGCTTTGAATTGTAAGTATTTTTTTAAATGCAAACAGAACCCTTGTAAATTTAAAGCTATCATTGAGGCAAAGGAAAAATCCAAGATTTTCTTGAATGTTACTTTCATGATGCAGGTTTTTTTTATACACAATTTTTGTCCAAGTATTTAAAGGAACTTTTAAGTTAAAAAAAATAGTTTCTAGTAAGTATTATTTTCTTTTGTTTAATACTGTTAATAGTGTTTTTTTTAATAAAGTTTGTTTCAAATTTTTTTATCTTTTTTGGTCTAATTAATTTATTTTTCTCCACTTTAGAGAAAAGCATCTGTCAAACAAATTGAAGTGTGCGTTCGTAAGCCTCTGAATAGCGATATCATGATTCCTACCAAACAAAAGATGATACAATTGAAGATGACTTTGTTGCCAGAAAACAATGAACATTCTTAAATATGAATGATTAGAAGTAAAAATGTACATGGATGCCATTAATAAACAATTAAATTGGCTTGGACGAAATGATAAACGTGAAAAAAGAAAGGGGATGGGCACAGAAGAATTATAGCATTATATAAAACATTTAAAAACTTTTGAAGCCTTTGAGATTTCACCTAAAAACAGGAGCCTTACCTTACAGCTTCACAAAATGCCTGCTCTGTTTGGAATTCCCTGATCTGAAGGAGGCAGGATTGCTCTTTGGAGATGTTTAATTCTTCATTTATTGATTTCAAGTTTCTCTGATTCAAAAGCAGAGAATATGTAGATACCTGCAGCACAGGAAAACAGAGAAGGAGCAGTTCCTCTGTATTATTAGATTTGTACTTTTTTTGTAATTTTTTTTAAAACAAAACATCTACCATGTACCTATTCATAACTTTGAATGTAAGTTTAATTGATAAACTGGAATGGTCAAATGTGCAATATTTAAATACCTCAAGGCACATCCCTTTCTCATTGTCACGCCGGTACTTCTTTATTACATCCATCAGATTGGTGTGAGTCTGCTGCTTGAAATAAACATTCTGAATCTCCTCTGTATTTTCTCTCACTCGTATAATTGAGTCCAGAGTTGCACACTGCACCAGTTTCCATTTGCATTGGCGAATGATGTCATCTCTCAGGCCTGTATCCCAGTGCTCTGAAAGAATTTCAGGGCAGCAGTGCAGCAGCACTGATGCACATGAATCCTGTGTGAATCCAATCAGGGCATCACATGTCTGTGTGTCGCCAGAAATCTTAAAGATATCTTTAATCTGCTTTTCTAATTCAGCCTGTAGTTGCGTTGCATGTTCTGGAAGAATGGTACTGAATTCCAAGCAATGTTTCTCAAGCCTGCTAAGAAGCGGTGTTGGAAACTGTGCATACACAACATTTTTCTCCTCAATGACAATAAGTCGAAAGCCCTCTTTGACTTTGCATTTCACACGATGGGCACCAAGCCCCAAATCCACATAATAACTCCCTCCTAATTTGACGTAGCACTGATTCAAGGCATCGTAGAGGCTCTCATAGAGATTCTGTATGTTTAGCAACACGACTGACCTTCCTGTCTCCATGCAAGTCTTTACTTTGTTCACTGTACGGCAGACCTGAGAATACTCTTGGTCGAGTGGGAATCCTGAGCCAAAGATGATCTCTGTGTCATCATCACTGATGATTCCCAGGCTCAGCAGTATGGAAAGTGCAGCATTATTGCTTGACATAAGTAAAAGATATCTTGATTCAAGACCAGCTTTCTTCTTTGTTTGCAAATTTTCCCTCACCAGGTCAATTGTTTTGGCTGGTTTGACCTCAACATTAAACTCCTCAGAGAAGATGTCAAGGCTGTTGACTGAATCCAAGATTCCAAAGTTTCGTTGGACAGCTCTTGCCAGGTCAGCAGTGGAGGGTTCAGAAGATTGTGCATAGGTAACAATCACTTTGATTAAATTGTAATAATCTCTGAGGCCATAAAACTCATTGACCTGTTTTTTAAGGATTTCTGAGTATGCCTTGGTGAGAGTAGGCAGGCTTTCCTCAATTTCTTTACTGAGTGGTCTAGCTGCAGAATAGATTTCTCTAGCTGTTTTTTCAAGTTCTCCTTCTCTTGGAGAAGCACGGAACAGAAGGATGCCACGGTTCATTTTAGCTGGATCTAGGGACCAGTTGGACATTCCGATAAATCCAACTTTCTTATAATCCTCAGGCTCTTCATCATCAATAGATCCACACTCAAGAAGAGGATGCAATGTTTTCAGGGGCATCTTGGGTGAATCTTCTGCTAGCCCTATTTCATCCAGTACCACCACTGAGACATATTCATCCAGATTCTTTTTCTTTTGAAGCTGGGCACATTGCCTGAAAGTGGAAATGATTCCATCAGATGTTGAATGAGCACTACATTGAAATGATAAGAGTTGTGCTTGTTTGTAACTCTTGAAAAGTTCACTACGTGAAGACTTCCCTTGTAAAGCATCTGCAGCCACAGTCTTGGACAGTGATTTAGAACTTCCAGGTTTTCCCACAAGGAAGAGAGGCAGTCGTAAATTCATGCAGACAATCATCATGAACACATTCTCCTTTAGAGCATCATTCTTTGCTGTAGCAGCTGGGATGTCCATATTGTCAACAAAGACCTCTTGACAAAGTTCTATTTCTTCAAGCATTTCCTGGGCATTTAGGGAAAGGGCTCTAGCAGTCAGTTCTAGGAAATTATTGCGGTCTTCAAGGGAAGCACTGTAGCAAACTCCAACTGCAAGGATCAGTGATCGAATTATATCATCAATTCTTCTCTGATCTGTGCCATCAGGCCTTTTCTTTTTCTGATCAATAAGAGGGAACAATTTATCTTTTTGCTGATAAAACCACATCACTGTCTTCATGCATCTCTCAATATCTCTGAGGCTTACCATTCTGCACTCATTACTCTCAGTCATGTGCGTCTGAGATATATTGATCACATTTGTGAACACTGATTTATGTCGTTCCTCCAGATTTTCAGTTGTGAAGAACGTTTCAACCATCTTTGTGATGTAAAGCTCTTGGGTATGTTCATTTAGCTTTCCAAAGTCCCACACTAGTGGGGAGAGGCTTGCAGGTAATGGCTGTACTCTGTAGACAAGCTGCCGCATTGGAATCTGTCCAAGCTTTTCTGATGTGTCTTCAGCACGGACCCTATACCCTAATCCTGCTTTCTCTAGCTGTTCTATTGCACTTTGTGTGTGCTTTCTGTAGGGATTACAGGCAGCAACGAATTTCAGGTCAGGTGCATCAATTTGTTCTCCTTTGATGGCCCTGTCACACATCACCTCTTTGATTGCATATAGAGCCTCTGTTGTGTTTGCTTCATCAAAGAAGAGAACAGTATACATGCCAAGATCTCTGTTCCTTTTGGAAACTTCAATTGCCTGCTCAACTTTCTTGTAGATCATGTCAGATGTTGTGCCCCCATGAACTCTAACCATCAACAAATTTGTTTTGTCATCATCTTTCCTTAGTAGGTCGCACATAAACTTAACCAGTCGTGTCTTCCCACATCCAGTTTCACCCATGATCACCACTGGTATGTTACACTGAAATCGCATGTGAATGGCAAGGATTTTCAGAGCATTGTCCAGTGTCAGCTGGTATGTGCTATCTGGGTCTTTCTCTTGCACTCCCAGCACTCTGCACAAAATCTCAAGCTGTTCTGTACGATGAAGTGTTTTAAAGTCAACATTCATTGGCACTCTTTGGACCCTCAACTGGTCAAAGAGCAATTTGGATATAACATTCTCCTCAATGACCTTACCAGTTCTGACGTCAACTGCATTATAATTTTGAATGTGGAACCCCAAGAAAGTCATGGACACTCCATCAGAATTGAACATGATATATGGATGCGCCTCTTGTTCCCAGTGTTTTCTAATCTGAAACTCATTCAAAACATCATCTGCACCTTCATTTTTATCTTCATTTCTTGTTGACCCACCACTTTCATCAGAGGTTGCCAGTGAGGGCATGGTAAAATCTGTGGACATTGTGATCATAAATTTCACAACAAAGTCTCTGAAGCCAGTTAAGTCATTGCGCAGCATGTCACTGCAGAACACAGATTCTTCACACTTCTTCAGCTGCACATTAAGAAAATGTGTGAAGTGGCACAATTCTGCCCATGATGGGTTCCTGATTTTACAGTAATGTAAAATGCATTTCAACCATTCCTGTGGACTATCAGGGCATTCCCGTCGGTCAAATTTAAACATTTCAAGGCTCTTTCCTTGAAAATGTTTGAGGTATTGGTAGGTCCTCTGAGATCCCTCACTCCTGAACTCTGAGTCATCCATTAACTGAAATTCAGACGCTTTATCACTGTTGTTGATGGTCTCACTTAAGTGTGTTAGAGTGTCTTCAGGGGAAAAGCATCGGACAGTTGTAAACATTTCCAACAGACTATCTTCCAGTTCTGTAGAAATCTAGAAAGGGGAGAAATACTTGAGATCAGCAATTTTAAATGAGAAAACTCAAAATTTAGAAACAATGTTAAAATTTCTTTAACATTGCAATGACATCTCTGGTTTGTTTTGTATATTTTAAATGTTGACCGGTACTGTAAATATTACATTTTCCATACCTCTGAATTTTCTCGGTCACATCGTCTGAGTTTTCTCTCTGTATACTCGACCAAGTAAATGTGGCAGTCTTTGCATTTCCAAATGCAACCATCCAAGCTCTGGAAGCATCTCAGCACAAAGAGTTGAACAAGGAATGTGTACAGTCCTTTACAGACCTACAGTAAAAAAAAATATTGGAGATTGCTTTGTGGTTCTCACTGTTGAAGATGATATATAGTGATCTCTTACCAATTTACAAACATTTGTTTAAATGTTCTTTAAATGCTTATCATAAAAGTATCATTTTAGCCACAAGGACAAAACAGGAGCATCTGGGCATTATTTTCTAATTACTATAAGTGAGACTGAAGCTCACCACAGGTGGTACATCAAAATGGAAAATTCTGGGGATGTTGTCTACTGGGTTGTCTTCATATTGCTTCAGATTTTCATAAATGAATCCTGGTTTTATCTCATTATCAGTGATGCTGATGGTTTTGTGGGTAAATCCTTGGCCGGTAAGCTGGTCCTTTGATCTCCTGATCAGATTTTTCACAAAAAGTGTTTTTCCTTGTGGCAAAAAAAGTATGTTAGTGCCCTTTATAGTTAGCCTGTGCTTTTTCATGCCTTGTTTATAAATATTTGAAAACAATATATTCACATCAAAAGTATCACACATGCATGTAATAAGGCAAACAGAATTAATTCTGCACAATAGACAAATTTAATAGGGACCAAAAAAGTCACTTACCCATGCCTGCTCTAGCAGATGCCACCATCTTTATGTTCTGACGGAATTCCTCTTGGATGATATTCACTGGGATTGCAACTTGATTTGAGAGCTTGTGCTTTATTTTCAAGAGCTGTTGAATTTCCTTGTATTCTTTGGCCTGTAGAGTTTTTCTGTATTCATCAAAAGCTGTTAGAACGTAACTGTGATGTGCTTTGGCGTTGCAGAATATGACAAAACTGTACTCTCTTGCCTCTGTTATATTTTGATTCTGCGACAAGTGGCAAAAACTGGACTCGAGAACTCTTGCCACTTCAGGATTCAGGTTTTCAGCATTTAGGAGAGAATAAATCTTCTCATGTCTGCTCCCAGACTGCACTGCTCTTCTGATGATCAGCTCCAAATCTTCTGTTGTTGTTTCAGGAATGCAGATCAGTATTTCATCATAGGTTGGAAGAGGCTGTTCTCTATGAAGGTACAAAGAGAGACACTGGGGCAGCATTTCAACACTATTACAAGATACAAGGTTGGGTTTCCCTTTGTCCAGGAGGTGAGTTAGTTCCCTTCTTACAGGGTCGACCCTCTCTGCCATCTGCTTCAGTGTCTCTCCTAGAAGATCCAGCCCTATGTATTTGTCTGACACAAGTCCTGATAATTTCCCACAGTAGGTGTCCCACAGTAGCATAATCTTCTCTTGACAGGAATTCAGGTTTTCAAACGTCTTTGTCATCTCATCTGCTGACATGGTAAAAGCAGGTTTCATCTGTTGTGGTGCATGACCACCAGTGAATTTCAGCTGATTCTGAAGAACATTTTCCCGTTCCTCATCATATTTCGCACTCCATTCATCGACCCACTCGTCGTCACTGCTGTTCTCATAAACACAGTCCATTACTTCATCTTCATCTACATCTTCATTTTTCAACCCATCATCAGAATACTTGCAGAACATCACTGCAGCTTTAGCAGATGCCTCAGTGTATCCAGCCTTTACCACATACATGATGAGTTCTGGGAATCGAATTAGGTAATCTTTAATTTGAGATGACTGCGCATCCATGCTGTCTGCATTTTGAATCGGGCTTTTGAGTGCTGATGTAAAGGCATTCTGCAGATCAGTCACGGTTACATTTTCCTTTATGAAGGACAGCATGTTTAGTATTCTGGAGGATACTTGTTGATGCTTCTGCATTTCGGCCACAGAACTGCACAGTGTGGAAAGCTGTTTGGCTGTGAAATAGTTCAGATAGTAATATTCATCCCTGTGTATTTTTATATAGTTCACCCACTTCTCCAGACAGGCCTGCATACTTTTACAGATTCCCTTTAGCTCTTCCAGTAAGCTTTCATGTCCAGTGATTTTCAGACCAGTAATGCCGAAATCAAGATGTACTGACACTTTACGGTTCTCTTCGCAAAAGCCAGTAAGAGACCAGTCTGTGAACAGAATGTGACCTGCTTCTCTGAGTTTAATCAACAACTGTCCAGCATGTAGCACCTGCTCCAAAACCTGAAGCAAAAGGAAATACATTTCATGAACATCTGCAGACATTCTGAACCTTGTGCAATATCCTTAACATTGATATGAACATACGAAAACAGAGAACAAATGAGCACAGTGGTTTTATGGCCTCTTACTTCCACAAATTGAGAAACTGTTTTATTTTGTTCTTGTCCATCCATAGCAGTGATCAGCATGAGTTTATTTTGAAGATCCTGAAGTTGTGAGAGCGTCAATGTCTTGTCTGGAATGCCTGGCTTCCCTTGTATTTTTAAACAAATACAGTCATCCATTGTCTGGAATGCAATTTTTAAAGTGGAATTATTACCAACATGTATATTTAAATTGCAGCTTGCAATTTTTTAGCAATATTGAAAATAATGGTACCAGGAAACATACATAAGTCCACTTCACATTAACATACATCAGAATGAAACAACCTATATTCATAACGCACATCAAAACAACTGCCATAAAATAATACATTAAAGACAATTGCAAAGCCAACATCCTGATTTCAGACCACATAAACACACATACAATCTTCAAACAACTAAAAAAAAAAGTCAAAAATAACATGTACATTTCTTCTTCATTTATAAATTAATAACTAAGTTTTTTCTTTCCCATTCTCACCAAAATGTTTACTTCCACAGTTCCTAGCTGAGGTCTAGATACCACATTTAAACTAAATCCAATAATAACAAAATAAGGTCCAATGTGTTACCACGCTGATGAGTAGCAGCCTTAGGGGGCACTTTTGGATGAAAAGCATAAGGTGCGCTGCATGGTCTTTTTTTATTTTAGGGCTTCACACTACATTTCCTGAAGGCTGTTTCTTGCTCCCTGTTGATTAGCAACAATAGCATCATGACTGTCAATCAATTGTGCTAGCTCATTATCATTAAGATGTTGACAGAAAGCTCTGATACTTATCCTTTTAGAAAGTGATCTATTAACTAGCAAGTGTGGTGCTGCTAGCAAAAACAAGTTAAACTATAAAAGCTGCTTTTTTATTTATGTCAGGATAATTTATGTTAGTTACATTTGAAATCACAATTAAGGCTAAATCACTGACTGCTGCTATCAATAAAGGGCTGCCATCCTTTTGATCTGATTGGTCAACACACAAAACACATTCAGGTTGTGGGACCATTGCAGCCAACAGAAGATGGTGGCCAGGGAAGATTAGCTAGAACTGTGCTAGCAACACAGATGTGATAGCCAATAACCTGGTAAAGTTCTCTCTCAAGCTGTTTTTTTTTTATCATTGGTTTCATTCAAGTTGACATCTCAGCATATGTGTCCTCAGCGCAGTCACTTTACTAATAGGTTTGCATACAGAACAGATTTCGATCTTGCTCAACCAGTCCTCTGAGTTGCAGCTGGTCTTAAGATTTCCCTGGATGCAACGACATAATCTGCGGCTGGGTTGGCTGGCCCAGTCTGTGGTGGGCTGAGGGCCTCAATGCAAGGAAATCTGCACTGAGAGACTCACTGCAACCTCTAACCAGATTGTGGCTCCATCAGACAGCCCAGACTTATCCCAAGTCCCGGCTGACTACCATGATCTATTGGAGGTCTTTAGTAAGTGCCAAGCCCAAGTTCTGCCTTCTCCGTTCATCTAGCCATCCAACTCACCAGCTGGGGCCAGTTTCTTCTTTGTGGGGAACAAGGATGCATTGACTTCCAGGGCCTCAATAAAATCAATGTAAAGGACCACTACCCCTTACCACTGATGACGATCAGCATTTGAGGCGCTGTACCAGGCCTCTGTTTTTACTAAACTGGATTTGCGCAGTGTCTACAATCTCATTAGAGTGCGCCAGGGTAACGAATGGAAGACAGCATTCATTATCCCTTCAGGTCATTATGAGTATGTTGTGATGCCCTTCAGGCTAATTAATGCTCCAGCGGTCTTCCAGCACTTCATTAATCAGGTTCTGCATGATGCTTTAGATCACTATGTGTTCATCTACCTTAAGGACATTCTCATTTACAGCTGCTCATTAGACAAACACATAGTCCATGTCTAATGGGTTTTCCAGCTACTGTTAATTGAACATGGACCAGGCTAAGATCAAGGGCATTGTGGAACGGCCATGCCCCACCTCCCTCCACTGAAGAAGGACGTACGAGGCTATGTAGTACCTTGTGGCACTCCTCCCTGGACATGTCTCCCTTTGAGTGCCAGTTTGGGTATACTCTGCCCATGTTCCCAGAGCAGCACATAGCGCTCTGGTCTCCAAACACGGGGACTGCTTGTTTGATTCCCACACAAACCTCATTACAGATGTGGACCCAGTAAATATTTGGATCCTTTGTGTCATTTAATGTAAATCCCAGTAATGTGAATGGATGGTGAAAACTAGTAGTTTGGACAAACCCCAATTAAAGTTAACGAGAAGGCTCTGATGTTCTCAGTTATGTGTTGTTGCTAAATGGCTTAGAGATAACATTAACATATAATGAATAGTTTCCACCTAGACCAATCCTCAAGCTTACATGGTACATGGTTGTTTTTGAAAGTCTTCGAGTTTAACTAGGCCATGAGCTGAAGACATTGCACCGTGACTGCAGTTTGACAATGTCATGATCTAGGTCATATATTTTGCAATTGAGAGTTTTTATCACTGCAAGCTGTGGAACTGTGTGTTTATGTTTAGTTTGCTGTTGATTTGTAATTATAAAGTGTCCTAGGGTTTGACCATTTCCACACTCAAGTAAACAGTGTATACAACTATATTAACTATTTTCTAGTTGAAATAATATTTATACATTACATTTTTGTGCCACATACCATAACAGTTTAATTTCTGATCATTGTCCACTCACATTTAAGCTGGAGGTGATTGATCTAATTATAGTCCTACCAACACAGTGAATTAACACCAGCTGCTAGAAAATTCTAAACTTTTGACAGTATTTACACAATCATATCATAACATTCTTAGAAGCTAATGATAAACTTACATCAGTTGGACAGTGAAAATGCTCTTTTGAATTGCATGACAAAATGCCATGAAGTTCGGATATCAGTACAACCAGATATCCAAACCTCCAAATCTCCAAACCAGATTATCAACCAGAATTTCCAAATTAGTCTTATATGCTAAACAAAAGTAATGTGAATTTGGTGGTATTCCCCATAAGCTACTTGTTAGAAACTTACACAAACTTGAAGATGATCAAACTATTCTTAGTATCACTGACTTTGTAGCATTTTTGATCTCAACTAAAGACAATAATAATTTCAGAAAAGAATTTCAGAAAAGAATTTCAGACAATTCTTTCAGTTTTTATACTCACCAACATTTCTGCAAAAGTCTGGACTGCTATTTGCCCACATTAAGCCAGACTGACCAAGATTCAAGATTTTCTTGGTGCAGACATAAAATGATATGATGAATGACAGGAGGCAAGACCCCCCAGTCTTGTTGAGCTACAAAGTGAGTTATACAGAACCTTTAGTGATTTACTTTCTCCCCTCTTGCTTAAGATGGTCATATACAAGTCTTAGATCATGGAAGTCTTCCCTAGACAATGAAGCCTTTATGGGGAGTACTGTAATAAATGCTTCAATTATTCATTTATTAGAGATTTAATCCAATCTCTCTTTAAAATATTGATCAAAACATCCTAGCTATTACCCATGCCAACAGACTCGGTGTTGATGTTTATACCTGGTTTATACCTGGCCAGTCTTTTTACAATTTAAGGTTCTTATTAACAAAACATACTCCTCCCAGTCCAGTGACACAGACTAAATTATAATCTCTGTTGATGTTGAAAAAGTGTTTGCCCTTTTTGCCCACTTTCAGAAATTGTTCATTCAAATGAGACAATGTATGGTGTCTAGTCTTAAACCATTTCAAACAAAATATTGCTGCACACAGAATATTTTTATATATAGTCAGCTCCGTAAGTATTTGGACAGGGACAATTTTTGTAATTTTGCCTCTATACACCACCACAATGGATTTGAAATTAAGCAATCAAGGTGTGATTAAAGTGCTGACTTACAACTTTAATTCAAGTGGTTTAACAAAACTATTGCACTAACCGCTTAGGAATTGCAACCATTTTTACGTAGTCCTTTCATGATTGCAGAATTCTTTTTTGTGGAGAAGAAAAACCCCATTACAACACCTCATCATTTAGTCAAGTCAAGGACATGCTAAAGGAGGTTGGTGTATCATTGTCTACAATAAAGAGATGCTTTCATGAATGTGGATACAGAGGTTTTACCATCGCAAACCACTGGTAACAGAAAGGCCAGATTAAGGCTCATGATCCGAAGCATACCATATCGTCCGTCAAACATGGTGGAGGCAGTGTATGGGCATGTATGGCTGCTAATAGAACTTGGTCACAGGTGTTTATTGATGATGTGACTGCTGATAGAAGTGTATAGAGCTACACTTTCTGCTCAGATTCAGTCAAATGCTGCAAAACTCATATGAAGGCATTTCACAGTACAGATGGGTAATGCCCCAAAACAGACCACAAAAGCAACTTGGGAACATCTTAAGGCAAAGAAATGGAATGTTCTTAAGTCA